GCCGGCCCAACAGTGGACCCGCGGCAACGGTGAGACCTCCCCCCACGATGCCGCCACGGGGTTTTTCGGGGAGCCGTCGGCGGTGTTTGACCCCCTTTTGTCGGTGGGGGGTGTCCCTAATTCCAGGTATTATCTACGGGAACGGGGAACGCTGGCGGCAGTTGCGGCGCTTCGCCATTGTCACCTTGAAGAGCTTCGGAATGGGCAAGCGCGGTGCCGAGGAGCGAGTCCGTGAGGAAGCCCAGCATCTGATCCAACAGCTCTATCAGACCCACGGTACGGCCTCCCGGAGCCACCCCCCCCCCCCCGGGCTTTTTCCACCCCCCCTGCCCTAACGCTGTGCTTCCCACCCCCACACAATTTTAGGGCAGCCCTTCGACCCCACTTTCCTGCTGAGCTGTGCCGGCTCCAACATCATCTGCTGGCTGGTTTTTGGGGAACGCTTCGAGTACGGGGACGAGCGGTTCCTCACCCTCATGGGGCTCATCAATGCCAACTGGAAGCTGATGAGCTCAACTTGGGGGCAGGTGGGAATTTCCGCTCCCCCCCCACCGCTGCCTTCCCTGGCTCATGTTCCCCCCACCCGTTTCACCATCTCTTCCTCCTGCAGCTGCTCTTCATCTTCCCCAAAATCATGCGGTTTGTGCCGGGGCCACACCAGCAGATCTACGCCAACTACCTGCAGCTGGGCGAATTCGTGGGGGAGCGGGTGCGGGGGCACCAGCAGACGTTGGACCCCCAAAATCCCCGGGATTTCATTGACTGCTTCCTCCTGAAGATGCAGCAGGTACCCGCCTCATCCCCAGCGTGCCAAACTTCCCCGCGGGGTGCCAAAACCGGCATCAGCGCTGGCACGTAACCGGGGGGGGACCCTTCTCCCCCTCCCTTGGCAGGAGAAGGGGAACCCCGACACCCACTTCACCGAGGACACACTCTCCAAGACCACTGTCAACCTTTTCTTTGCGGGGACCGAGACCGTCAGCTCCACCCTTAGATATGGGCTCCGGATCCTGCTCCGGTACCCTGAGGTGGAAGGTACCGGGGGAACGGCGAGAGGGTGGCGGGGAGGGGGGTGACACGGCGCTGACCCCCCTCCCCGTCCCCAGCCCGGCTCCACGAGGAGATCGACCGGGTGATCGGCCGCCACCGCAGCCCCTGCATGGAGGACCGGAGCCGCATGCCCTACGTCGACGCCGTCATCCACGAGATCCAGCGTTTTGCTGACATCGTGCCCATGGGGGTGCCCCACACCACCACGTGGGACGTCCAGCTCCAGGGCTACACCATCCCCAAGGTAGCGCAGCAGGCAGCCAGGCGATGGCCACGGGGTGCTGCAGCATCCCTGGGGTGCTGCATTGGGGCCCCAAACATCCCTGGTGTACAGCAGCATCCCTGGGGTGCCACATTGGGTACAGCAGCATCCCTGGGGTACCGCAGCATCCCTTGGGTACCACATCAGGTACAGCAGCATCCCTGGGGTGCTGCATCAGGTACCGCAGCATCCCTGGGGTGCTGCATCAGGTACTGCAGCATCCCTGGGGTACCGCAGCATCCCTTGGGTACCACATCAGGTACAGCAGCATCCCTG